CTTCTAAATAGAGCAAACGCTATTCTTGAACTACCACCGCCGCAACGGTGAGTGTGCCGTCTGCTGATTCATGCACACCTCAAGGTAACGCCGAACGGGAATGAGTGTAGGTATCACTAATCGAACGTAATAACTCCCTACATTACACTAGCAAGTTATTACATTCGAGGTACACGTTAAACTAACGTCAAATGGTTGAAACGAAAGTTGTCATTAATTGTATTGTTTTTATAACTCTAATATACGAGTATATATATATATATATATATATATATATATATATATATATATATATATATATATATATATATATATATATAAAATTAATAATCAATGTGTAGAGATTTATATACTCCTATCTATATTCTATCTTTAATTTGTTGTCATTGTAATAATGGAAAGAATTTTTAACTCACGTATGTAGTGTTGACGATCGTTTGTAGATTTATACCATATTATTTATTAGGATATATTTATCATATTTTACTTAACTTCCTTAATGCGTCGCCATTTTTCTAATAATCAATAAAATGTAACAAAAATTCAATTGCATGTTGATTTGTCGCACGTTCATGATAATTAAAGCATAGTTTCCTTTATATAGATATATATATGTATGTATGTGTACAAGTGACAACGCATCTGCATTTTGATTTGTAATCGAGCATAGACTGATGTAGATGTCTATGGGCCGCAGCAACATAAAGATGCGTTGTCACTTGTCACCCGTGAGGACTAAGATGGAATGGCTCGTTTCCAGTAAAAAGGCTCTCCGGTTCTCTACACTCACCATACGAATCACAGCAGCATTAAAGCTACTATTTTACGCTGGTACTCTATAAGAGTACACATATTATGAGAAGAGATTTTTGACGTTTGTTTATCTGTCAATTCTGTGCCATTCAATGCACCATGCGTACGCATAACTAAGGCCTCTTTTTTTGAGTATTGTTTTTGAATTAAATGGCTCGCCATACTGAACGCATTGAAAAACATCTAACCCTATCACAGAGTTGCTTCTATACTTATAAAAGGAATGTCGGTGAAAACGGGTATTAGGGTGGTGTTTATAGGAAACCTTCTATTCTACGTAAAGAGAGAAATATATATATATATATATATATATATATATATATATATATATATATATATATATATACTTATCTAGCTTTCAGCTTTCAGCAATATATAAATTTTCAGTAAAATCTAATGCAATTCATGACCCATATAGTAAGTTGGTTGTCACTGTGATTCTCAATTTTATGTGCAGGTTTGCCACTTGCTCCGCAGAAAATGTAAACATAGAGAAAACTATATACGTGTAGATAAAAAAACTAAAAATCAATTTGACCAATCTGCACTGGAGCAGTATTTGTCGGATACTTCCTAAAAGTAAAAGAAACTCAGCATAGCAGGAAGATATAAGGCGTATATTTGCATAACCGGCAAACGGACAAAGTTTTGCTAAGTCATGAACAACATTAATAGATCGACAATTTTTTGTTTCACTAATAGCACATAATTTGGAATGTCCATGAAATAAAAAATTCTAAGCCTTGTGAAAGAAGGTTACAATAATACAATTATCTTATTTTGTACCACGTCAAATGTTATATACACAAATAGCCCACTCAAGATATTTTATCCCCTTCTTAGGACTCTATGCTCTATCCCTGCTTTATATGATCACCTTAAATAGAAAAATAATTTTCTAAAATTATAAGACGAAAAAGTAGAAAAGAAATGTTCCTCATAATTTAATGAGACTATAATTTTTGTCAAAGAAACACGAGAGGCGTTCATGCGCATCGAATATTTGTATGCGACGAATACATGTATTTCGTAACAACACACTGTAGGGACGTTGATCTCGAACTTGAACTTAAGACGCACTTATATTACTTGGAGGGTTAAGCAAATAACTTAATAGCACGTTCTTCTTTTATGATATTGAGCCGAACATCATAAATTTTAAAATAAAACATTTGTTGAGCAGTCGTGAGACGAGTATTATCTACGGGAAAATAATTTTACAGCATGTCAGTACACCAAATGTTGACCGGAAATTGTAGGAAATTGCAAGAGAAAATGAATCCAACCGTTTGAGAGGTCTGGTTGAAGCGAGGCTTACTGAAGATGCATATAGCTTTTTACATAGTTACAACTCAAACTTGAAAACATAACACAGACGAATATAAATATATTTGAAAAAATATTAGGCATTACTCAATTAATTTTATAAGGTAATGATAATGAAGTGAGATAGTAGTTTTAAGAGCATACATTACTATTGCATGTGAATAATATGAAAAGTATAACAAAACTTGAACTGTAAAAAGAAAGAGCTTGTCATCAATCACACGAACAGAACATGTGCTTCCGGACGCCGCCTGGTAGAGCGAAACATTTCTTTGAATAATGAATATATACAGGTGGGCAGGTAGGTAGGTTCGTGCCCCGTAACTGGACGTGATATACGCCGTCTTCGGCCGCATGCATAATTTCACTTATTTTATGTGGTTAATTGTCGAAAATGACCGCCAGTAAAATGTATTACAGTGTTCCGACGCCAACACTCCTGCTGGCGGCTAATGTATTCTGCAGCTCGTACGCTCCACCTTTACCTCAGTATAACCCATCTTTACGTACGGGTGCCTCTGATAAGCCCGACGCGGCGCCACCATACAGAAACATACATACACTAACTAGTAGTTAGTAAGATTAACTGCTACAATTAATAACGGTATAAATTAAGTTTCACAACAATGGAATTAACTATACATCAGAACGTACAAAATTTTACGCCTTCTCCAAAATCTTAATACAAAAAATAAACCAGAAAACTATAAAAATAAATTAAATATTTATTATACCTCAACACATTAAAAATCAGTTTATAATTAATACCAATGCTTAACCAGTTAGTAATGCGTATATATTTTTTGAAGTTCTAAGACCAAACAGATGTAGAACATTATCGAATTATTCAGATGGCGATTTACCGACGGCTGGTATATCAAGCACAGTCTACAATATCGCTGCATCAAAATTTTTCAATACGACAGACACAAGCGACAGGGCATAAAAAAAGAGCTAAACCTAGGAAGGCGCAAAACGAGCGATGCGGCAAGCGGGTGGATTGCACGCGTGAGGCCTCCCTGCTTCGTCCTAATGCCTAATGTTTAAGCTACGTCTTTACAGCCAGTTTCACTTTACTAACCAACATATTTCTTTGTGAAGCTTTTATCTCCTCTACAATGTTGTGACTTACTTTCATAGAAAATAAGCTGTGAATTACCAATATTTATAAATTAGTTAGAACAACCTGCACAACATAGACAGATTGTTATACTGAACGGTTTAAGAAAATAGTTATAAATAACTCTTTGGAAGTCTCAAGAAACCGGTATCATAATTACGAATTTCCTAAAACCCGAAAGAGTAACAAGAAATACGAAAGGGCAGAAATTCAATTTGTTTAATGTAAGTTTTCGCTTAGCAAAGGCGGAAACTGTAAAAGCTAAGTGAGACACGACTAGACGGAATATTTGTACATGAAACTTATTTCGGGGTGCAGCAATGAATGCGGAGATCGGGTAGGACGATACGGCGGACGGCAGGTGGACCTCGCGTAAAGGCGGCCCGTGCAATCGCGGATATACATCAGCTGGAATACCACAAACGATGGCCTATATAATATCATGTACCGATCCTAAATGTTAGTGAAAATTTCAAGGAAAATCAAAAGCAATGGAGAAAAGTAAAGTTTGAGGGATAGAAAATGATTTCAAGGGATTAGCTGATAAAAATAATATATTAAGGAAAAACAAAAGCTGGGCACTACAAAAGTGTATAAAGCACAATTTCAGGATCCGAACGTATAGAGGCATTTGGCAATTTGAGATTTCAGGTGCAAGAAATGTTGCTCATGGATCATATTGAACATCATCGGCAGAGAGGAAATCAAGTTATTTTTCCAGGACTTTTCATTTTACGATTGGTACAATAATGACGAAATATGATACAGAAAAGGGGCAATTATATTCAATCGTTATTTATTTAAACATCTTAGAAAGTTTTAGCTGTAGGTCAGTGCACTTTTAGTACAAAATAGTAATTCATTGCCATAATTAATTGTGCTATATCTTTTATTATTAATATAACAATACATAAATTTTATTAAGATATTATAGAAATTATTTATTTTCCCATAAATACGCTCTTCAAAAAAGAGTTTCCACATATTCTTTTTTTGAAATTTTAACTAAAAAACAACCGATTTCAAAACTACTAAAAAAATAAAATAATTTCCACATAATTTAAGAACTTGTTTCTTTTATAAGAACTTGTGCTAAAACTTAACCAGATTGCCAAAGAATGTGAAATTATTTTATGCTTATTAATTTCTTAATGTGTTTCTATTATTTTTCATTTTAATTAATTACAATCTGTCAAGTCCACTGCCACCACAACAAAATAATCAGTTAAATCGTTTCACCATCAAGGAACATACGGCGTAATTCACAAACGGACAAACTATAGTCGTTGGGAACCTCCTCCTTTTTTGAAGTCGGTTAATATGTAAAGGACATAATTTATGTATTTTCAATCATAACAGACTAATTATGTCCGTTATTTTCTCCTTTTCCTTAACCACCTATGAACTTATCGCCTACACATCAGATTAAACTTATTTTACGTAAGATTTCTTTAAAGTAAAAGTAATAACCGTGATTACTGTGGTCCAAGGACACCTATTTATCACCGATTACAAATGAAATGTCGATTTGATGTCTTCTCTGAAGTAAGACATGCTAGAGCACATACTTAAGTAGTAATAAGTAAGGTAGTAATGAAAGCACACTAAGATTATAATAATGCTCACTTATAAAATATACTGCAATAATAATAGCAATAAATAGACACATCGATTAGATATTATAGCTGTAATGATTTATCACACTTTACGTGGTAAGAGTAAAGAAAAATTATCCTATATATTAGACATCAACGCTTAAAACTTTGACAGTCTGAATGATAAATTTTTTTTCAACATAAAAAAGCTTAACTATAAATTACTTTATTAATTTTTTTTATAGATTTAAACAAACATTTAAAAAATCAATCACTGTAAGGGATGATAATATATTTTACTAATATTTGAAGTTATTAAATGTAATAACTTATTTAAAGATTGTCAAACGTAATTTTTTGCACAAATTTTGGCAGGAAGTATCTCTGCTTTCGGGGTTTTGCAATAAACACAACATAACCTTGATAGGACAAAGAAAGTACGGAAATAATATTTGACAATTCTTGACATTCTCGCCACTTGTGCTTCGCACTCGCAATAGTATACATGCATAAAATATATTACTTTGTTTACTAGCGTTTAATCAATCAAAATTATAACAATTATCTTTATGAATGTTAGCTGGACACCGATTGAAGCGCATTTTATCGTATACAAAGATCCAGTTGATATTATCCTTTAGTTAAAGCAGGTAACTAAGTAACTAAAAACGATATTCTCTCAACAAATAATTGTAAAGTTATAGACTTTTCGGGCTTGTACCTATTAATTGTGCAAAATAACGTGATCAAGCTGAATAAGAAGATTATTGAGAATATTATCGTTTTTAAGCAGACTTCGTAAAAAAGGAGGAGATTCTCAATCCGCTTGAAGTGTTTTTGTACGTGTGTTACACTACACCATCCTCACGTAACATCATACAAAAAACCGTTATGAGAAACGATTTTAATGATTAGAAACAACTTTTTTTATTAATTCGGTTATGATTCGGGATGGTTCTGTGGAATGGATGGTGTGGCAAAAGGGGTTGTAGTTCAGACCACTGAAAGGGTAAAAAAGTAACTTTTAATCAAAAGAAAAAGCCCACCTAAAATACTAAAAATAATAGAATATTTTCACATCCGTAACTAGGATTTTTTTAAATTCTTCTATCCCTAATTACTGAATCTTTAATTATTTTATACACTATAACGTAGCACCGACTTTTGAACATTCAATACTTCACAACTATATTTTGTGAATATAATGTAGACCCTTACAATTTGTAACTTAAGGTCCTTTCCCGCGGCGGCGGCGGCTGTGACGGAAGTCGTCACTGGCGATAGCCACTGATGCAGGTTAATGTATCTTTTGGGTAAAAGTTTTAATGAAACATCTGCTTGTGCATAAGCGCGCTCGAGGCACGCGGCGGTCGCACCGTCGAGGGCGAGCGCCGGCTCTAAGAGAGCGCCTCCACCCTCAAGCACCACCATGTTAGCGGCAGTACGGTCACTGAACGCTACAAGCGGCACCACATACGAGTCACTTCACAGCGTCGCGTCGCGCGAGCACGAGCTACATGTCGGGCGCTAAGTGCGCGGTGCGTGGCTCCGGGACGGAGAGAGTCGCGGAACTGGCGCGGCTGCCGCGGCGCACACCTGCCGGCCGCCGCCCGCGCCCCGCTGGCCCGCCCATCGGCTCGTCAACAAACACCGTTGTTGCTGCAGCGGTTGCCCTGCATCCATCGAACCCGACCAGACTCTACTTTCGTCCCACTTTCACTATGCTATAAATTTCCAACTTACTGAATATGCCCAAATGAGCAAAGCAAGCAAGAATACAAAATATAAAGCAGAAATTAGTGTAACGTTTAACAGCTTTACTGAAAATCAGCATAACTTTGCTCGCTTTAAATGAAAACAAAAGGGCCAAAATAATTTGCGATATTTGAGTCAGAAACGGAACAAAGCGCCAAAGTCATGTGACCAATTCGACGCCTCCTGTTTATAAATCAAATATTCTATCTTAAAGCACCAACTTTAAAGCAATTAGGGAAGTTTCTATTACCTGTAACGGGCGGGCGAGATTTTCACCACTCTCTGATTTATTAAAACGTAAACTCAATAGAAAGTAAAGATTAATGTAAAATTCAAAAAAAAAAATCAAATAAAAACTATATAAGACCACAATTTTTAAGTAAATCACATGTCAGTAAAGAATATAAAAATAAGCAAAGAGAAAAATGTGCTTTACTAACGTGAATCCAATTTAAAAGAATGTCCCCAAGAGAAATATGTCGAAAAATAATAAAACTTATAAAATTGGGATTCCATCACAAAACCTTTTTTTTCTAACCATAACGTAGCTAAGTCCAGATTGAGGGTCGTAAAAATAAGAAAACTACGCCTGAAAGATGTGGCAAAATTTTAATGATTTTATATCCCATTATAAAATTTTACTGGGGTCATTTCAATCTCAAAAATAATTTAAGTTTGTAATGATCACACGCAACAAACAATGAAATTGACTGAACTGCAGAAATTAATTTGCTATAAATACAGGTATTAATAGACGCGAGACAATAAGCCACCCCCCTACCAACTTCTAGTCAGGAACCTAATGTTTCACAGCACGCGAGCCACGTCGTCGCACCCCCGACCTCGAAACTCGGTTACTATACACATGTAACGTAACTTGTAAACTTGTAACGATATGTGTGTTAATTAAACATAAATTAGATATAATTTAAAAGGTTTTTGAAAAAAAAAAGATTATAAAATTATAGTACAAAATAAGTTGACAATCATATTTTTCGTTTTTCCTTCTTTAAAAGAAGTTTTCTAGGTAGTAATGCCACTTTTTTTAAGCGCGGCGGACACTTCCTTGCCCTAAAATCTCAGAAATGAGGGGAGGCCTGTGCCCAGCAGTGAGACGTATATAGGCTGTAACTTTATGCCACTTTTCTGCCAAGGAATCTATCTGGACGAGTAGTGGCAACCCAGGTAAGCTATAATTTCGATTGTTAACCATACTATAATTTTATATACATAAAGTTTGAATCAAGTACACTGGTAATCAAATGGACAGCAATTGTTTAAATAAAAATATTACTAATCATGCAATCATTACTTTGATAAAAAAATAAAAAACTTCAGAACAATACATAAATTATTGCAGAATTGAAAGGATTTAGGAAGAAATCTGTCAAGGCAACTCAACCTGCCTGTCAGTCTCCTGAATATAATTAACTTTCTTTTTCACAGTATTGTCAAGTCGAGCATTATAAATGAACTTCTTAATTCTTTACTTCGTACTTCTTACTTTGTTAGAATAGTAGAAATATCGTAAATTATTTAAACATATTTTGAGGATTATGTTGAAATTACTGTCTGGAGCCAATAATATAAAATATTTTTCTTTAAGTAAATATTAATTTGTTTTATTTTATTATTGTTTTAATATTATATCTATAGAAAAAATATCATCATTGATTAATTTTCGTTAGGTGGCAACTGGCAACGCTGTTCTCAACATTATTTTTATTTATATTGAACTAGTGTTCCCGTTAATATAACTTCAATATTGTGCTAAAAACGTAGTGATTATGTCACAAGTCTTTGTTTTCAGTTTGTGATTTTGCGTTGACCAAAACCAAAAGTTCGGTGTAGTATATTTTGTTTTACAGATCCATTTAATACTGAAATACAAAACTCATTGACATAATATGACATATGATAAAGATAAATGGTAGCAAGTCTCGGCATTCTTCTGGTCCATGTGCTGCTACAGGTGAACAATAGCAACTGCATCCCTATTGAGTTAGTGATTTAGCAACACACCTCTTGTAAAATTTTGTAAGTACATTTAAATTAAGATATCGTCTGTATGAGTAGTTGTGGCTAAAACAACTTTACCAACATCAAAAATCAGTTCTGTAACTAATGCAAAAATATTTCAAACATTATTACTACCTTCGCGTTTAATTTACATTTAAAAATCATATAAAAATGTTCGTAAATGAAGAAAAGTTGGTCAATAAACTGATCGAGGGACAGTACACAGCTATGGATTGTCTCAATTATTCACACGACATAACTCGCAGGCCGCCGCATCATCCGCTTGCTGCCAAATTAAAAGTAAATAACGAAATCAAAACAAGCCGGCCCGCGCCGCGAGGGACTCGCAAACCTTTTACCGCTGTCGAGTAAACAACTAAAGCTAAAAACACTTCATCATTTCATCGGATATTTGCCAATGCAGATAAAACTGTTGAAATTAAACTGCATTCTAATCCTATGTTACAAATAACAAAAAATGCGGGTTTACCAATTTAGTGACAAACAATATATAAAGTTCAGAAACCTTTTGATCGATGTTCTTCATTGTGAATACTTGCGAAAAAATCAAAAATAGATATTGGTACAGCCAACAGTTCCCTACTGTTTGATACCATACAATAAACGAGGCAAAACAGCTAGAGCTAAAGCGCTACACTCAACGCAGAGCAATTTCGAGGAACAATAAACTAGGATGAATAGGGGCGCAAAGTAAAAAGTCTATTTACATCATATGCACATTTACTACGGCAATATATATATATATATGTAGAAAAAGAGTACAAGCCCTAAATAAGTTTGTTTTGTTAAATAAAACGCAAGTAATAGATAAATAAAATACAAGGAGGTATACAAACAAGTACAGACGCTGTGGCATCATTAGTGACAACATCAGGCACTATACACGCTACTGCGTCAGGTAAAGACAGGGAGGACAATAACGAGCGGCCACTGCGTCATCGTGGGGTAAGAGTAGCCCCTCGCGGCAAAAATTGTCACACGGCAAAGTGTGTCACGGGTTGTTGTATCATTATTTCGACAGGCCTGTAGACGTGGCATCTAGACGTAATGATTAGAGATGGGTCTAAAAATAAAAGTGATTTCAACAAAAATATTTAGTGATAATAAAACATTATTTATTTCGTATAAAAATAAGCTATTCATACCGGATACTGCACAGATACATTATAAATGAAAATGTTGTTAGGTGAAAAACTAAAAAAACAAAATAGGCTAAGGAATTAAATGAAATACAAAACATTGAATCAAATTTAAACTCAGGACTCATGCGATCATGTCCTCAGAGGCATTAGAATATTCAAGACAAAGATAGCAATCGTTTATAATTTGCTCGTTATTTACACTGCAATTTAAAAAATTATAAACTTAACCGCTTATATGTAACGTAAAAATACGTAAAAATGGAATGTAGGAAGTAATAGTTCTTAACCAGAACAGCAAACCACTCTAATGCGAGTTGAACGTCCGAGAGGAGCATCGGAGCGTAGCATATACAGATATACAGCTTTGCACCTCCATCTTGTTATGCATCGTGAGAGGAATTGTAATACATGCAATTACCACTTACTTATTATTAAATAAGTCACATCCATATACGGTCCTTGAAGACGGAAATATGCAGCCACAAATTATTTTCTAAAATACGTGCCTTTAACGTAACAAAGTTTAGTATGAGTGTTACGGACAACAGGCACGCTAATGAATTCTCATTCTATTAAAACAGAGTCCATGACGCCTATGAAGAAGGGCGTCTAAACAGAACTATGTGACACAGCGTTTTATAACAACAAAACCGCCGATTTGAAAGAACAATTACGCGAGTCAAAGCAGGTATCTTGGAAAAGTGCGGCGAGATATAACAAATCGCTAGCGCAACAAAAGAGGGCTTTCTCGCAGCCATTACGACGGGATGCACAGTGGAAAACAAGGCAAGATACGGGTATGGAGCGATTAGCGTAAGCGGCACGGCAAAGGCGGCGCACCCAAGGGACTGGGTCCAAATTTACTGTTGCCATAAGACAACTACGACGTAGCATTTTTGTGAAACATCAGTGACTGTCTAACGATCCTTTGATATGCGGTAACACGTTACAAAGTCTTAAGTATTCTATTTCATAATTCGTATCGAATAAAATAGGACAAATAAATTTATTGAGTAGCCGTATGGAGACGTGTGGAAGACAGGGTGTTGCGAAAGCTGTAATAAGGGCTACCATAAAATGTTACATTAGGTAAGAGCGGCTTCTGGGGCAGCTATAAATATCTCCGTTTGGAAGTACGGACAGGGTCCCGCGGGAGGACGTCGCATCGCCAGCGGTCGGGCGGCCGTGAACGTGTTGCGCGAATAAAAACATATCTCACCTCACGTGCTCCATTCTACTCGACCGTGTATGTATGTACTTCAACTAATCAATAATACTTTAGTTTGCAATAACGCTGCCATTTTGTCTCGGGATGATAATTTTCTGTATATTTTATGTTTTGTATGATAGTTTTCTGTACGTATCGTCTATGAACAAGTCATGTTTTTTATTTTATTTTATGATGTGCCTACATTGTAAGTAATAAGATATACTCAAGCTGCACTACTTAGGGTATTTATAACGTAAATGTTCTTCATACTACAGCATTGATGA